TGTGGGAGAAGGGAGGGCTTGGGGGATTGGGGAGAAGGGAGGTCCTGGGGGGAGGGGGGAGTGGGAGGAGGGGGGTGAGTGGGAGGAGAGGGGGGGGGGGGGGGAGGGTGCCTTAGGTGGGTACTTAGTGGGAGGCGGACAGGAGTTGGGGCAGGAAGGGTGTCTGTTGGGTAGAATGTGGGGGTGGTGCCGCACTCCCTGTGGCTAGTGCACTGTTTGAGGAGGGTTCCCCATTCCCCTCTGGGATTGTAGGGATCGGGGTTGTGTTCTCCCCGATTCCTTTCTCTCTCCCTGCGCTCCTTCCTCACGTATGCTGCCTGCTTTCTCTCTTCCCTTGTCATATCCCTCTGCAGGAATACTCTTTTGAACTTCTCTACATTTGCTAGACAGCACTTCCTTTCTAACAGTTCCTCTTTCGCGATTTTGCTCATGAATACCACCTTTATCATTTAGTCTCTGTCCTTGTTGTACTTTCTAAGCCTGAAAACCTTTTCAACATTTTTTTTTTTGTGTGTGTATGTGTGTGTGTGCTCACACACACATACACACACAGTTGTACTCACCTAGTTGTGCTTGCGGGGATTGAGTTCTGGCTTTATGACTCAGGCTCTGGTCCTGCCTTTCAACTCTCAATCAATTGATTGTTGTGTGTGCGTGCACGCGTGAGTAAATTACCTGAGTGTAATTTCTGGAGGAGAGCTACGCTCGTGGCGTGTGTGCATGTGTGTCCATGTGTGTGCACGTGTGTGCGCTTGCGTGTGTGTAGTGAGGGGTGAGTGTAATGAGAAAGTGAAGTATTTACAACAGGTGTTTATTTTTCACATCAGGTGAGTATTGAGAAACCGGTAGTGATGTGTAGTGTCACAACAGAAACCGGTAGTGATTACAACAGATGTGTAGTGAGACAGCTGTAGTGGTCACAACAGATGTGTAGTGAGACAGCTGTAGTGGTCACAACAGATGTGTATTGAGACAGGTGTAGTGGTCACAACAGGTGTGTGTAGTGAGAGAGGTGTGTGTAGTGAGACAGGTGTGTGTGTAGTGAGACAGCTGTGTGTGAGACAACAGTGTGTGTAGTGAAACAGCTGTAGTGGGCACAACAGATGTGTAGTGAGACAGCTGTAGTGAGCACAACACATGTGTAATGAGACAGCTGTAGTGGTCACAACAGATGTGTAATAGACAGCTGAGTGGTCACAACAGATGTGTATCACAGCTGTAGTGGTCACAACAGATGTGTAATGAGACAGCTGTAGTGGTCACAACAGATGTGTATATAGACAGCTGTAGTGGTCACAACAGATGTGTATATAGACAGCTGTAGTGGTCACAACAGATGTGTATTGAGACAGGTGTAGTGGGACAGGTTTGAGTAGTGAGCCAGGTGTGAGTAGTGAGCCAGGTGTGTGTAGTGAGCCAGGTGTGTGTAGTGAGCCAGGTTGGTGTAGTGAGCCAGGAGTGTGTAGTGAGACAGGTGTGTACTCACCTAGTTCTCACCTAGTTGTGTTTGCGAGGGTTGAGCTCTGGCTCTTTGGTCCCGCCTCTCAACCGTCAATCAACAGGTGTACAGATTCCTGAGCCTATCGGGCTCTATCATATCTACACTTGAAACTGTGTATGGAGTCAGCCTCCACCACATCATTCCTAATGCATTCCATTTGTCAACCACTCTGACACTAAAAAAGTTCTTTCTAATATCTCTGCGGCTCATTTGGGCACTCAGTTTCCACCTGTGTCCCCTTGTGCGTGTTCCCCTTGTGCTAAATAGACTGTCTTTATCTACCCTATCAATTCCCTTCAGAATCTTGAATGTGGTGATCATGTCCCCCCTAACTCTTCTGTCTTCCAGCGAAGTGAGGTTTAATTCCCGTAGTCTCTCCTCGTAGCTCATACCTCTCAGCTCGGGTACTAGTCTGGTGGCAAACCTTTGAACCGTTTTCAGTTTAGTTTTATCCTTAACTATATATGGACTCCATGCTGGGGCTGCATACTCCAGAATTGGCCTGCCATATGTGGTATACAAAGTTCTGAATGATTCTTTACACAAGTTTCTGAATGCCGTTCGTATGTTGGCCAGCCTGGCATATGCCGCTGATGTTATCCGCTTGATATGTGCTGCAGGAGACAGGTCTGGCGTGATATCAACCCCCAAGTCTTTTTCCTTCTCTGACTCCTGAAGAATTTCCTCTCCCAGATGATATCTTGTATCTGGCCTCCTGCTCCCTACACCTATCTTCATTACATTACATTTGGTTGGGTTAAACTCTAACAACCATTTGTTCGACCATTCCTTCAGCTTGTCTAGGCCTTCTTGAAGCTTCAAACAGTCCTCTTCTGTTTTAATCCTTCTCATAATTTTAGCATCGTCCGCAAACATTGAGAGAAATGAACCGATACCCTCCGGGAGATCATATACATATATCAGAAACAAGATAGGACCGAGTACAGAGCCCTGTGGGACTCCACTGGTGACTTCACGCCAATCGGAGGTCTCACCCCTCACCGTAACTCTCTGCTTCCTATTGCTTAGATACTCCCTTATCCACTGAAGCACCTTACCAGCTACACCTGCCTGTCTCTCCAGCTTATGTACCAGCCTCTTATGCGGTACTGTGTCAAAGGCTTTCCGACAATCCAAGAAAATGCAGTCCGCCCAGCCCTCTCTTTCTTGCTTAATCTTTGTCACCTGATCGTAGAATTCTATCAAGCCTGTAAGGCAAGATTTACCCTCCCTGAACCCATGTTGGCGATTTGTCACGAAGTCCCTTCTCTCCAGATGTGTTACCAGGTTTTTTCTCACGATCTTCTCCATCACCTTGCATGGTATACAAGTCAAGGACACTGGCCTGTAGTTCAGTGCCTCTTGCCTGTCGCCCTTTTTGTATATTGGGACCACATTCGCCGTCTTCCATATTTCTGGTAGGTCTCCCGTCTCCAGTGACTTACTATACACTATGGAGAGTGGCAAGCAAAGTGCCTCTGCACACTCTTTCAGTATCCATGGTGAGATCCCATCTGGACCAACAGCCTTTCTAACATCCAGATCCAGCAGGTGTCTCTTGACCTCCTCTCTCGTAATTTCGAACTCTTCCAAGGCCGCCTGGTTTACCTCCCTTTCTCCTAGCACAGTGACCTCACCTTGTTCTATTGTGAAGACCTCCTGGAACCTCTTGTTGAGTTCTTCACTCACCTCTCTGTCATTCTCTGTATACCTGTCCTCGCCTGTTCGAAGTTTCAATACTTCTTTCACTGTTGTTTTCCTTCTGATATGACTGTGGAGTAGCTTTGGTTTGGTCTTGGCTTTGTTTGCTATATCATTTTCAAAACTTTTCTCTGCTTCTCTTCTCACCCTGACGAACTCATTCCTGGTTCTCTGGTATCTCTCTCTGCTTTATGGTGTTCTGTTATTCCGGAAGTTCCTCCACGCCCTTTTGTTCAGTTTCTTCGCTTCCATACATGCCCTATTATACCATGGATTCTTCTGTTGCTTCTCGGATTTTTCCCTTTGGACCAGGATGAACCTGTTTACTGCCTCCTGACACTTTTGGGTAACATAGTCCATCATACCCTGTACAGACTTATCTCTGAGGTCTGTGTCCCAAGGTATTTCACTTAGGAAACTTCTCATCTGTTCATAACTCCCCTTTCGGTATGCCAGCCTATTGATTCCTAGTTCTTTTTTGGGGGAGATAAGACCTAGCTCTACCAGGTACTCGAAGTTCAATACACTGTTGTCACTCATTCCCAAGGGCGCTTCCATCTTAACTTCCCTTATATCCCACTCATTTAGGGTAAATATCAAATCAAGCATTGCTGGTTCATCTTCTCCTCTCATTCTTGTTGGTTCTTTGATGTGCTGGCTTAGAAAGTTTCTTGTTGCCACGTCCAGCAGCTTAGCTCTCCATGTTTCTGGTCCTCCATGCGGGTCTCTGTTCTTCCAATCTATCTTCCCATGGTTGAAGTCTCCCATAATTAGTAGTCCAGATCCATTCCTGCTAGCAACAGAAGCTGCTCTTTCTATTGTGTTAATGGTGACCATGTTGTTTCTATCATATTCCTGTCTAGGTCTTCTGTCATTTGGTGGTGGATTATATATGACTACGACTATAATTTTTTTCCCTCCATTTGTTACGGTACCTGCTATGTAGTCACTGAAACCTTCACAGCCCTGAATATCCATCTCCTCAAAATCCCAGCCTTTTCTTACCAGCAGAGCTACACCACCCCCACCTCTTCCTTCCCTCTCTTTCCTCATAACATAATAGTCCTGTGGGAACACTGCGTTTGTTATCGTTTTCGTGATCTTTGTTTCTGTGAGGGCTATTATGTCTGGGTTTTCCTCTAGTACCCGTTCTCCAAGCTCATTTGCTTTATTTGTAATTCCATCTATGTTAGTGTACATCGCTTTGAGGCTCACTTTCTTCTGTCCCTTCTCAAATCGCCTCCTTGGTGAGTGTTCTGCTGGTGGGGGAGGCTGTTCCATGGTTGTGAGGACCTGTGAGGTGGATAACAGGGTCTCAGACTCGTTTGCAAACACTATCTTTATCAATCGGTCTCGGTCTTTGTTGTACCGGCCTAGCCTGAAAACCTTCTCAATGCTATGCTCAGCCCCTTCCATGTCTAGTGCCTTTAGTACTTCATTCACTGCTGCTTTGTCCTTGTCACTCCACTCTGTCCTATTAGATCCTTCCTGTTCCTTAATACCCACAGCAACCACTGATCTGTTCCTTTCCAGCAGTTGGCTAGTGGAGCAACAGTGTGTGTGTATGTGAGCGTGTGTGTGTGAGCGTGTGTGTGTGTGTATGTGTATATGTGCTTTATTTGAACATATTTTTACAAACTTTTAACTAGTAAAGGCATCAAATCTGTTTAGAAGTTTTGGAGCGAATTGTAAATAATATTTTGATAATATACCTTATCATATATATTTGTATTGTAACAATATGTTTGAGTCCTTCCTTGTGCTACATACTAGTGCCTGTAGAGGCTCTGGCTCCCACCTGTGAGACTGGTGTGGGAAGCGGGCCCTCACATAGCTGTCCCGCTGTCTGTGGTACCAGTAGGGTTGGTCCAGGGAGTAGCAGCGGTTGGGAGCGTCGAGGCGCATGGTCTGCATCAGCTCGTACACCAGCCTCCCTAACTTTATGCAACAAAGACAAAATTGCTCGTCAAAGAAAAATGTGGTAAGGGGTTCGTGTCTTCAGCAGTCCCCTGCCAACTTGAAAAGTCTTACATGAAAAACAACTAGCCTCAGACTTCAGACATACGTACCTGAACTCTCTCACCTTAAACTAGCATCAGACTTCAGACATTACCTAGCTGCTCTTGCTTATCTTACAACAATCTCCATCATCAAACATAACCGATAGGACTTTCACCCTCTTGCATTACAATTTAGACATATCAATATATACAATGTAACATCTTAGAAGTCGGATATTGTTGATATATAATTTGATGTATAATTTGTTGAGGTAATAATAAGTCAAAGAACCTATACAAACATTGTGTATTAATGAACCAGAAAAACATTACTCCCTGTTATTTAATAAGCAAGTCACGACGGAAGATTTTCTTTCAGCAAAAGTTTGTGGTAACTAAGAATGTGTGTGATAAGGTTGTGTGGAGTACTCACGTTGGAGGAGAGAGTGACAACTATGTAGTCGGTCCGAGCTAAGAAGTAGATATCCACTACCAGATCTCTGAGTGACGTAACAGTGAACCGTGTTTCATCCTTGACTACGTCTATGTTCCTCTTGTGGTAGAGGATCTCATAGTGCGGGTACCTAGAGGTAATGGCACTAGGTAAGGTATCATGGGGTACCTGGAGGTAATGGCACTAGGTAAGGTATCATGGGGTACCTGGGGGGTAATGGGACTAGGTAAGGTATTGTGGTTACTTGCTGGTAATGGGATTAGGTAAGGTATCGTGGGGTACCTGGGGGTAATGGGACTAGGTAAGGTATCGTGGGGTACCTGGGGGTAATGGCACTAGGTAAGGTATTATGGTTACTTGCTGGTAATGGAGTAGTGAAATATGTGACTACGGCGACGCGCACCAGCTGCCCCAGGTGGCACTCTTGAGTGCCACCTCTGAGCAGGTGAGAGCAGGTGAGGCGCGACGTCGTAGTCGCAGCGCGTCGTCGTCATCACATGGGGTTTTTGGGGATTTTCCCGGAAGTTTTGGCGCGTTTCGGACGCGTGTGAGCGTCCGGTGTTTGGGTATGTGGTCAGGAAAGAGGGGAGGTCATGTTGTTGGGTGCCAGGTGGCGCGCGACGTCGTAGTCGCAGCGCGTCGTCGTCGTCACATGGGGTTTTTGAGGAATTTCCCGGAAGTTTGGCGCGTGTCGGAGGCAGCCCTGAGTGGCGGGTGAGCAGGTGCGGCCCCCCCTCCGCGCGGGTCTAGTCCTCGGGGATAGGGGAAAGATGTGAGTAGTGTGAGAGTAAGTGATAGAGTAAGAAAATAGAAGGAAGAGAGAGGAAGGAGTAAATGAATATGTATGTGTGTTTAGCGTAGACTTAATCCAGTGTGCGATAATAATTTTTGATGATCGTGAGTAAGTAGAGATAGAGTGTAGATGCAAAACACAGTCTGTTATGTTGTTTGAGGTAAGGGAGGGGTATGGGAATGGTGAGTGGAGCTCCCCCTCGTCGGGGAGAGAGTGCTCTGGGCCATTATGCGGTTAGACAAACCCATTAACTACCCTACAGGAAGCCCTTAAGTGGTGTTGTAAGAAATGCATGGAAAAGACACGGGAGTGCACCTGGCTTTTTTCTGTGTGTTCGGGTCATGAAAGAGTGAAGTCGCTCTCGTTGTGAGACTGCAGTAGGCCATTATGCGGTTAGACAAACCATTTATCTCTCCCTACAGGAAGTGCTAAGTGTGCGAGGATGGGGGCGAAGACTCCTGCAGGAGGGGTGTGTACCATTACCTTAAGTGTTTTTCAATGTCCGCGGAGGGGTAAGCGTACGGGTCGCAGGTTGGAGCCCGACTGAACAACTTTCCAAGTAGCCTGGGTATTTCTCCTCAGACACCCCCGGAAGTGGTGGGACACCCATTACCAATGCGTTTCGCCAGGGTCCGCGACTCTCTCTATCTGTCTCTGTCTCTGTCTCTCCACCTCTCTCTGTCTCTCTGTCTCTCTCTGTCTCTCTGTCTCTCTCTCTCTCTCTGTCTCTCTGTCTCTCTCTCTCTCTCTCTCTCTCTCTCTCTCTCTCTCTCTCTCTGTCTCTCTCTCTCTCTCTCTCTCTCCTTCATATTGTTCATTCATTCATTCATTCATTCATTCATAGTTCCTTTTCATTAAAACTATTTCAGTTTTACATATATAAACAAAGCCAGGGAGTAGTTTTTACTAATACATCTTCTCTAGTATCCAATGATTTTCTTCGAGATTTTAAACACAGCTATTTCAAACATATTAAAATACAATAATTTGGTATCGAGCTTCAGCTCCTATCCTGCCTTAATCCCCTGCCCTATAATGAATACTAACAGTCCTATCCCTCTAAAATTAAAAAATAATCATATTTCAAACATAGTTCAATACAGTAATTTAGTTACCGAGCTCCAGCTCTTGTCCTCCACCTTACTTCCCTCACACATCTTCGTTAATACCTATTCAATTTCCCTGAAATTTCTACCCTCTGTATTTCAGACTTAGTTTAGTAAATCCAAACAATTATCAAACTCTAGCTCTTGTCCCCGGCTTAGTTCATTTGTACAAGATCGTTAGTAACAGATCAATTTTCCCGAAATTTAAAGCAGACATACTTCAAAGTTAGTAAATAATATCAAGTCAGTTACTGAGCTCTAGCTCTCGTCCCCCAACTTAGTTCTCTCGCGTATATTTGTAAATAACCCAGCAATTTCACTGAAATTTCTACCCTCTGTATTTCAGACTTAGTTTAGTAAATCCAAACAATTATCAAACTCTAGCTCTTGTCCCCAGCTTAGTTCATTTGTACAAGATCGCTAGTAACAGACCAATTTTCCCCTGAAATTTAAAGCAGTCATACTTCAAAGTTCGTAAATAATATCAAGTCAGTTACTGAGCTCTAGCTCTCGTCCCCCAACTTAGTTCTCTCTCGTATATTTGTAAATAACCCAGCAATTTCACTGTAATTTCTACCCTCTGTATTTCATAGTAAATATGATGTAAACAATTATAAAACTCTAGCTCCTGTTCTCTGTCCAAGTCCACTCCTGTAAATTTATTACTATCAGTCCAATTCTCCTGAGATTTGAACACCAACTACATTTTCAGTCATAGTAAATAAAAACCGGTTCAGTTATCAAGTTTCAACTCTTGCCCCCTCAGCTTAGTTCATTTTTTTTGTACAAGTTCTTTATTTTCCAACTAAATCACCTTGAGATTTAAGATCGCTTTATTTCTAACGTAGTAAAATTAATCTGGACATTAACCAAGCTCCATTTCCTCAGTCTTAGACCATCGAACATAATTATATCTGTTCAAGCCCCTCTCCAGCCTTACTGTTTATCAGAGTAAATACCATCCATAGCGCGAGTTTACACGCAACATCAACCATTAGTAATCGTCCGATCCAACAGAAAAAACAGAGACTCTTGTTAACATAATAGGTGAAAAAAAGTTAATCTTTCTCTTATCACGTTTTATTCAATGACTGGTAGACACATACATATTTATCTTGGTAAAAACAAAACATATTAACTGTCAGACAGACAGACAGACAGACAGACAGACAGACAGACATAGGTGAAAAAAAGAACGTAACGCAATCAACTTTTGCAGCCCAAAATGACATTTTTAAATAAAAGTATGACTTAGTCCATCTTCGTTACATCTCTCACCATATAGACATATGGTGTTAGCATAATATGTGAAAAAAATAGTTGATTTCAATTCTTAGCTTGTTCTTCACATGTTCAGTGTTCATTCTTGTATTCCCTATGTTCCTTATCATGTCTTCATATTGTCTATAAGTTCATATTCCCTGCATGTTCACTCTATTCATCAACTTTTTCTTGCATGTTTTCTGTGTTCATTCCATGTTCTACAAATGTTCACAGCATGCTCAGTTCAATTCTTTCACCTGTTTTATCATTTTTTTCTGTTTTCTACCATTTTCCCCGTATGTTCACTATGTTCTTTGTCAGGTTTTCATGTACATCATATGTTCTCTGTATAACTTTTATACTCAATATTCATGTTCTCAATGTTCTTAGCTTGTTCTTCACACGTTCAGTGTTCATTCTTGTATTCCCTATGTTCCTTATCATGTTTTCATATTCTCTATAAGTTCATATTCCCTGCATGTTCACTCTATTCATCAACTTTTTCTTACATTTTTCTGTGTTCACCGTATGTTCACTGTGTTCATTCCCCTACTTAACCTCAATTTTTTTTTATGTTCTTTGTTTCTTTAAACCAATTTGTTTCTTCCATTCACTAACTAGTTCTTTGTCAAATAATATTATACGGCAATACAGTCCCCTCAACAATTTTAGTCATCAAGTTTTATTTACAAAACTATGTCAAAGTAATTCTCATCGTCGTCAACTTAATAGTTCTACCAACCCCGTTCTTGAACAAATCTACACTTTATTCAGTTCCAAATTTACAAAGACAAACCTTTCTTGTAACTTCGTAACTAAAAATCTTTCGCCAATCAACTAAAAATCTTTCGCCAATCAACTAAAACATAGTCACTTTCCTCATTTCTCAACTAAACTTATTATCCAATCAACCAAAATATAGTCAAAGGAATCTTTCCAACGCTGTTCATAACTAAACTTATTCCCTAGTCATCAGAAAAATAACCGTGTTCTTCATGTTTCATTGTCATTTCATAACTAAAATTATCCATCAATCAACAGAAATAGTCATATTCATCATTGTTCCTAACTAAAATTATATGTCGTTAAGTAAGAAATATAGTCAAAGACACTCTTCGAGACATCAAGGACTTACTCAAAGACATCAAAGTTACTCTTCATTACATCAAAGACTCATTCAAATACTACTCATGTTCTCAGAAGTCATTCTCAAAGTCATCACTGATTTTCTCAGAGTCACCAAAGTTATTCTCTGAGTTAACAAAATACTACTCATGTTCTCAAAAGACTTTCTCAAAGTCACCAAAGTTATTCAAAGAGCTAACAAAAGTTATTCTCGGAGTCACCTTCGTTCTTCAGAGAAACTTTCCAAAACATCTTTGTTCATCAAAGTTATTCTCGGAGTCATCAAAGGTAATCTCTAACTCACTTTGGTCATTAAAGTTAATTTCTATGTTATAAAAGTTTGTCTCAGAGACATCTAAGTTAATCTTAGAGTTATCAAATGTAATCTCTAACTCACTTTGTTCATCAAAGTTGATCTCAGAGTTAACAAAGGTAATCTCTAACTCACTCTCGTTCATCAAAGTTGTTTCAAAGTCATCAAAGTTAATCTCAGAGTTATCCAAAGATATTCTCATGTCCACAAAGTTATTCCAAGAGACGTCAAAGTCAATCTCAGACATCTTCGTTCATAAAAGTTATTCTCAGAGACAACTAAAGTTATTCTCTAAGAGCTATCAAAAGTTATTCTCAGTCAAGATATGTTATTCTCTAAGTAACCTTCCGTTCATCAAAGACATTCTCTAAGCTCTCAAAGTTATTCTCTAAGACAACAAAGTCATTCTCAGTCATCAAAAGTTATTCGCAGACTCACCTTCGTTATTCAAAGAAGCCTTCTGAGACATCCTCGTTCAACAAAACTAACCTTAGAGCCATCAAAAAGTTAAATACAGTCATCAAAGTTAT